GATGGCCTGCTCCGGCTTTGACACCCATGGCCGAAATCTGGAGGCATTCTCCATGTAGTCCTTTCTCTTACCTCCCCACCCAAGTGCTCCTGGCTTCCCTTCCTAGTCTCCTCTCCAGTTTATTCATTTGTCTGCATCTCCCCCACAGATACCTGGGACAGCACCGTCAGTTCTTTCACAAATGATGGAGCAGCTCCTACTTCTGCTCTTCCTGCCATGACCATTCATCTACAAAGCAGCCAGGGTTTCTACAACATAAATCAAACCTTCCTGCCATGACCATTTATCTTCTACAAAGCAGCCAGGGTTTCTACAACATAAATCAAATCATGGCATGTCCCTGCTTAAAAGCCAATGATTTCCTTTTCTTTTTCTTAGGCTAAAACCCAAACTCTCTCCATTGGTCTACATGATCTGACCCCTTCCCACTCCTTCATCTTCATCTACTGCCTTATTCTTTACCCAGAGTCATAGTCCTCAAGCTCTTTCAGGCCATAAAGCTCTTTCCACCTCCAGCCCTTTGCACATCTGCCTGGAACCACCTCCTGGGTGGTCCACCTCCTGGATCTCCTTCTTTCAAGGCCAACATAACACGCATTTCCTTGGAGAGATGCTCTACGAACAACCTTTTTAGAAGTAGGTTCCTTTTGTTAATCTCAATATCTTTCTGTTTTCCACGAAAGCAATGATAAAAATAACGATTCCATTCATATTTTTAATTTTATGTGATCTGTTTTCCTTAACCATATTGTAAGATTCACAGAGTAGCAAGCACATCTTCTTCATCATTGTTTTCTCACTATCTAAACAAGAATTTAACCACTTGATACAAGAGTGAACAAGGAAGTAAAAAATGATTGAATGAATGAGTAAATGAATGAAAGAAAAGTCTCAGTAGCCAATGGCAGGAGGAGGAGATGCTTCGTCATAGGAGGTCTAGGCTGAATTAAAAGCAGGAGGGGTAAAGGAAAGCCTCCCCTCTGCAGACAAGCCAGGACGTTGGTGGAGAAGGCGAAAAGCCCTGGGCTCCTTCCGTGACTTCCTTCACAGCCACAGGATTCCTCTTGCCCCGGGGCAAGCGCAGGCCCAGTGTCTAGAGACTCTGTCTCTTCAGAGCAAGTAAGAAAGCATCAACTTTCAGGCCACAATGACACACACCTCTTCCCAATTCTCCCTGCAGGGAGGCACACAGGGAGTTCCCAGCCTCTAGTGCTGCTCCCGTGTGTACAAAACCCCTTCGGGACCAAGCGCTCTGTGGCACACACTCACCCTCGGTACCATGGGCCACGTGCTGGTGGCGCGGAGCTACCATTTTTCATTTTGAACAGGATGTATCTACTGGCATCACAGCCCCATGCCAATACTAGTTAATGCCCACATCTGTATTTTGGGGAATCAGGACCGAAAAATTTGCATGTGTTTTCAATCTAAAATGAAGTTTTCCTTTCTAGTGATTTAAGAAATAAAAATGACCTTGTGCTCTATGTCCACCCAATTACGAGAGTTCACAGTGAACGCAGGAACGTTCAAATGTCAAGGCCAATGGGGCAATAGTTCTCACAAGGTGACTTGATTTGGTCCCTCACTGCCCCACCTCATTAAATGTTCATAACCAAGGCGCTCTTGGGGGCGGGGGGCGCAAGGAAAGTACCTCCATTCAATGGAAATGAAGAGTTACTTGCCGACCCAAATAATTGCCACATCAAGTGGATTTTCCCGAATTAAAATCATGGGGAATTAAGTATCTGCTTTCCCATATTTTGCAAAGCAAGATAGAAGAGGCAGTGAGGGCTCTGGGAGCACATTTTCATGATCAGAAGTGGGGGGCGGAGGACAGTGTTTGAATATGCATCTCGGGGAGGCCCACTAGGGCAACCGGAAATGTGATCCCATGGGATCTCTGTAGGAAAATCATGACAGTAAGGCAGGCCAAAGGTCAATTCCAGCCTCCAGAAAAGAGGAGTAGGGATGAGCCAACAGGGAGGGGAATAGAGAGAACTTGGAGGCAGAGTATATGGTGGATCTTCGCAGCACCGACTGTAATTTAGAATGCCCAGTGCAAAATGAGATTGTCGGCCACCTTGATCAAACATTATTAAGAATTTCACAACAGTGACAATTTCACAGCAGCGAGCGGGGTTCTGTGGACTACACGGGTCACACGCAGATAATGCCCGGGTGGGGCGTGAATTTGGGGTGGGGGAGGGAGGCCAGCTCTAGGGGCTGTCAGAACTTGTTAGAAAAACAAACTTTCCCCTCAGAAAACAGCACCCCCTGAATGATCACAGTGAGAGAAATAAATCGTGTCTCGACCAGAAGTGGCAAAAAAGGGAGGGGCTGGCAGGGTGGCTACACTAATTCTGATTTGCTGTCATTTTTGGAGCGACTTTTCCTAAATTATGATTCATTTTAGCACCAAAACACCAGATACCTCAGATACTATTATAAGGATATTGCTGATGCTTTAGCAAAGTAGCGTCTTGTAATGTTTCTTTTATAAGGGCCATAAATCACAATATTCAAAACAGTTAATTTTTAATGTGCCACTATTATCCATCCTCAGTTGTAAATTTAACGTCTCCTCGGGCCCCACAGATTGTAATGTGACTCAGAACGTGCAACGGCTGTTCAAAATAGAAGGTTCCCCAGCATCTCATTATTTCAGTCCCTAAGATACGGTTTTAAAAGCTTGAAGTTATCTGAGTAAACTTGTTTAAGGGAGCCATAAAGAAAGATAAGTAGTTTTCCTCAGAAGCCTATAAAGTTTATTACAACATGTTAAAGGGGGATTACATATTGACTAATTTTCAGAAGACATTTGTTTTCTGGGGTTCAGGCGTTTGGGGAAATTCACGAGCAGAGCTAAGTCTTCTATGGGCGTTGGCACGAGTTCCCCCTGAGGATGACAGCACAGTTCCCATCTCAGGGACGGCAGGGTGGATGCCATGAAGCTTACGAAAGAGCAATAAAAATCTTTACGATTCAGGAAAGACAGAAATGCAGCCTCCTGCCCTAACCTCTATGATGCAGAAGCAGCAGCATCATAGAAATGCTCCAAGTAGGACCCACACTTCTCACGCCAACCCCCCAAACTCGTCGAGCCTTCCTCTGCCTACCCTATCCGTGCATGCGGTAGGCAGATTTGACACCTTTGCTTTGTAATATTACAAAACCTTTCCTTCTCATTTAATATTGTTTTAGGTCAATTTATTCTTTATTTTTTAAATATTTTTTTTTATTGATTTCAGAGAGGAAAAGAGAGGGAGACAGAGATAGAAAGATCAATGATGAGAGAGAATCATCGATCGGCTGCCTCCTGCACGCCCCTCATTGAGGATCCAGCCCACAACCCAGGCATGTGCCCTGACCGGGAATGGAACCATAACCTACTGGTTCATAAGTGGACTTTCAACCTCTGAGCCATGCCAGCCAGGCCGATTTATTCTTTTTTTAGCTTTTCTAGGTGAGTAATTGTGATATTTTTCTGAAAGTTTCCCGTAGACACAGGGAGGATTTCTCTAGCTTCCCTAAGTACTCACACTGACAAGCTTCCCTTTGGAGCCACTTTGCATGGAAAAGACACAATTCTGGTACCATTCTCCCCTTTACCCAGGAAAAGGAGAAGCAAGGAGATGCTCTGATGTCACCAGGAAGAAGGTTCTATTGGCGGCAAAAAGATCCAGAAGGTGTTACATCTGTACTTCTCAGAAAGCTATTGTATCTGAAAATTAACCCCCGTCTCTTTCCTGCAGGACCAGAGGAAGTGGCCTGACTCATGGGTGGGACCTAAGACAGCTTCAAACCAAGCGATGAAACACTCTGAAGTAAACTGTTGGCCACGGGCAAAACACAGCAGCGATTGTTTTAAAATTCACCCCAAGCCCCACTGCCATGAAATAGGAGGCAAGACTTAAGGAAGGGACGCCTGTTCAGTTATCCCAGAGAAATGCCTCTCGAGTCACAGACCTGGTGGTGCTCCAGCCCTGTGACAGTTCGTGTTTGTCCAGGAAAACGAACTACACATTCAGTACTCTTTGACCATAAAAAAATCACCACGGCACACCGTCTACCACATGCCTACCATACTCCATGTCACCATAGGCATATGCAACTCCAGGGAGCTGTGGCTTGGTGTTAAGCAGCCTGCTGTGTCCTAGAGAGATGTGAGTCCCAGCAGCAAATGTCACTAGAGTTCAATGTCCCGTTTATAACTGTGGCAATACATGCACCACCATTCCATTATAATGCATATAGGACAGAAATAGAGGGTGGGTTCTTCATAGCTAAAAGCCAACCTTTAAAAGAGCAAAACATCCTAAAAAGTGCAATGCGTGAAATTTATAGTGCAAAGCTCCGCAGAAGCGCAATTGTAAAAAAGAGCAACAGATATGGCACTAACGAGACCCGTCAACATTAATATTTCTATTCTAATTCATTCAGAGAGGTACAGTTACCCATCCACCATTACTATGCCTTGATCCTTGCGTTCTCTTCAGAACTGCCAGAGAAGAGGTAGCACAATCCATCAAATGGGCTTCTTAGAGATGACAATTTCAGCTCCATAAAAATATATGTAGTTTTGTTTTCCTTAGTCCTTGTCAAACATTTGACACAGCCAGAGAGATGTGAGAGTCACACCACACTGGCAGATCTGGCAAAAGCAAACAGTGCTGGAGAATTGTGACAATTTCTGAGCCCACAGCCATGCTTTTAAAAAGTGTGTATAAATTCTAGCAAGGGCAGAGTTTACATCTTAAATAACACAGAAACATTGGAATCGTGCTTGACCCAGCCCCAACAAGGCAGAGCAATCACGTGGTTTCAGGGTGGCAGGGGGTAGGGGTGGGTAGGAAGGAGAGGGCTCTCAGGGATGGTCACAGAACACAGAAGCAAACACAGGGCACGGTCACAGACATCAGCAAGCACGATTGATCACGCACACAATACAACACCAGAATGCAATCTTTTAAAGAAAAACGATATAAAAGATGGTTTCTCACCCCTCAAAACAAAACTGGAACTTTGGTTTACAGGCCCGGCTATGCCCATATGCCCTCCTCGTCATCCTGCGGCCGGCCCGGGGGAGGTGCACGGAGAGGGGGGGAGCACGGAATGAAAGAAGAGAAGGTTAGTTACACCGTGATGCCCTGGAAAGGCACACCGATCTTCACTTTGCTTTTTCATCTTAAAGCACCAGAAAAAAAAGAAATCCATAGTAACTTCAGTTCCACATCACCGACTTGTCAAATACATAACTGAGTTCTGTGTCTATGGCAACCCCCACACAAAAACATTCCGCCCACCCAGCTCTGACTCTGTGTCAAGATTGGATTAGAAGATTAAAATTAGTCTACATTAGCAGATGATTATTTTTTTGGGAAAGCATGCCATCGGAATTGCATATGCCTAAGGAGTAGATTAAACCTGTTAAGTAAGCAGAGAAGTAATTACAGTCATCAAATACCCTTAATTTCTCTTAAGCATAAAGTATCAATAAAGGTTGAAGAAGAATTTTTTATTAAAAAGATCTACTTGGGTGGAACAACTTTGGTAGCATGCGATAGTTCACACTGGCTCAGACCTGCTGTGGACTCCACTCCTCAGGTTCTGTTTTGCTCTCAGCATGAAAGAGGACGTGCATGCCACGGAATGATTATCCATTTGCAACCAAATAAGTTTCAAAGAGAAGAGTAAACTTTCAATTCGGTACAATGCTTGCAGCAAGGAAATTTGTTTAACTTAAAGTTGTATTCAACTGTGGATAAACAGAAACTTATTTGGTCTGAATTCTTGTTGTTGAAAACATTTCCAGAATGGCTCTGGCCACGTTCCCCACTTGGTGAAGTGGCAGATAGGCAGGGAAGTTTAATCTTTGAAGACAGAAGTGTATTCAAAGTTAGACCAGCATCACAAGGTCTATTTTGCACAAGAGTGCTCACTGTTCCCTGTAAGGATCGAGAGTGTAGACAGCCCAGCGGTTCAGCTCCTGTCGCACATGCACTTCGGGGAGCTGTGTCTTTGAACAGGTCCCTGATGAAACCAGGTTTTGCCAGGGCGTGCTTCTTGGTTTTAAAAACCAGGACTAGAAAAAAAAATAACTTGGAATATTTTCTCACTATTTGGAACCTTACTGCTTAGGTTGTTGCAATATTAGGTTGAATCATCTGAAAATGCCAATATTTGGCCATTTTTTATCTAGAAAAACAGCAATTTCATACAGTTCAATCTAATCTTGCCAATAGGCAAAGGTATTTTGCATCTATTCAAAGATTTAAATCTGTGGTCTTGAACTGAATTTGCATATAATTTATTTCCTTTCTATTTCTTCATATTTTATTTTATGCATTTAAAAATATTACTTGGAGAAGAGGTTCAGAGAGTTCACCAGACTGCCAAAATGGTCTATGGACCATAAAGGGTTAAGAATCCTCACCTGATATGACTCCATTAGATTTGCACGCAGTCAGAACTGCATAATTTGGTATGGATTTGCACTGGACAGTTTATATAGGAATGTTCTAGTAAGAAAAAAAAAGGTAAAGTTGATCATTTTTAGCTGGGTCTTCTCATGTAAAATTGACCTTGTTTGTCACTGTGCAGTCTAGTAACTACTCTTGACCAAAAAAAAAAAAAAAATCCCCTTTTTTCTACATTACTTGAGAAAAGAGTGTTTTTACATTCATTAAATGTCCTTTCAGTTCCTGTAGAAAAGCAAAGTTGGTCTCCCTTTTTTATGCTAATAAAGAAGGAAACTCTACAGCACCTACAAATGTGTTGCCAGGGGTCTAGCAACCCCTTGAACTTCAAAGCAGAACTTGTGGGGATGTGTGGAAGTGTAGTTCTCTGGATGGAGGCTTTCATCACAACGTTCCTGAGCCCAGGAGTTACTGCTGTAGGGAAATTCCAGGCCCAGAGAGATGCTACGATTTGCCAAAGTCAGAAAAAACGCTTTCCCTCTAAGGCAGCCTGCAGCCTCTCCTGACTGCTTCTCAAAGACCCTAAAATCACTCTCCTTGCAGAGCAGTTTATTTCATTTTGCATTTAAAATCCAAGAGCATGTATACATTCAGTTTGTTTCAAATCCATCCCCACAGGGTTTCAAATTTTTAAAAAAGAAGCAAGGAAGAAAAGAGGAAAGCCACTGTCACCAAAATCGACCGCTATTTTCTTAACAGTGAAATGTGGTCAAATGCAAATCACTTTTAGCAAATTAAATACATTAAAAAGTGGTAATTAATTATGATTGAATGAGACAGGAGTTGTAGCTTGAAAATATACACTGCCAATATCACTACTGTGCCTCGTCCACCGTAGGGATAAAAAGGAGCTCCCAGATGTCGAGGGTTATTAAAAACCAGATGTTGAGATCGACGTCTTGTATGCTGGTGAATAAAGTAAAGAAATATGACAGTCCAATATAAACGCTGCTAACATTTAACATGGCAGAAATGTGGATAAATTCCTTTACTGAACTTGTAATATTATGCTTTTTTTTCCTTAAGTTTTTAGTTTCTAAGGTTTAAAAGTTTTTTAAAAGAAAATACAAAGGGAAGTGGTGGCCATTCCTGCTCTCTCTAATCTTCAAAGCTTCCACATGAATTGACCCTAATCACCGAGTCATCTGGGTCAGAGCGAGTGTCTGCTTGGGGAATAAAAAAGAAAACGCAGGAGCTAATCAGAGAGGAAGCACCAAGGAGTTCCAAACGCTCGCAGCTGTTAGACTCCTGCGCTGCCTGCATCTCGGGATGAACTATTAATTTACTCAGCAACCTTACTGTAGAGAAATGTAAATTCGGGGACCAAAAATAAGAAGCAGATAGGGATCACTTGATCAATAACTTTATGCCAAGTTGTCTAGCGGTACTTGGAGTTTGAAAGTGTGTCTCCCAGGCCTGGGAGAGTCTGTCTCCTCTCCTGGCACTGGTTGTTCCAGATGCTGCCTGTGTCGGCTCCCTCGTGTGTCCTTCCTGAGTGATGGCTATGCCAGGAGCTGCCAAAGTTTCCGGATGGAAAGAGAGCCTCTAGTTCATCAGTCATCCAAGCGCCTTTGTCCACAGCATCTGGGATGGAAACATCCAAGGTGGGCTGAACCCCAGAGAGCAGTGACCACACAACAGAAAATTTTGAAGAGAGAGGAAGCTTAACTATCAAATAACCTCCGGATGTATCTCTGGCTCCAGGAGTGATATGAGGCCTTGATGGCCATCCTGCACTCCCAAAGGCTGGGCCCTAAAGGGATTCTCTAAATTCTGAGATAAAACAAAATTCCTCACGAGATGGGCCACTCACTGGGCCATGCTGATGACAAGATCTAAGGGCAAAGGACTGAGTCATCGCCGACAGGACAGGAGACTCACTGTTAAGGGGGCATTTATTAGCCCCAGAAAAAAAGCTCGGGAAGGAACTCTATAATCTGGCATGATAAATGGCCTGGTGTAAACCTTTAATTGGTATCTATTTTGAAGCTTTAGGTGCATCCAGCAGGCAAGCCCCAGCCATCACTGGATATTTAAAAAAACACACCCCCAAAAAAACAACACCACAACAACCCCACAAAAACCCAAAACCTGGCAATTCTCTTTGACTTGATAGCCAGCCTTTTTTCTTGAAATTAGACAATGAGGTTCCTGATGGGGACCTTACTGTCACACCTGTTCTATCTGGAAATGAGAGTGAAATTATGGAAGTGTCACCTTCAAATCAGCCACTGCCCCTCTGAGAGTCAGCCGCTATTTCTGTCAGGAGGAGATGGGAAGAGATGCAAGGACAGTGTCCTGGTTATAACAGGGACAATCCCCAGGCCCACCCCTGCCCCTAGTTCAATTCAGGGCTTCTCTGACACTTCCTGAAAATTTAAAAACCCAGGACTCTGCAGACTTCAGTTGCAGGAGTCATGAAAGCAGGACCATGGTGTGGGATTTATGATGTGCCTGCACCTGGGTGGGACCAACCCCTCTTGGTATATCCAACTGAAGGTGTGGCCAGAGCTGGGGAAGACAGGTGCATGTGAAAAGGAAAACAGGGGCCCTGATACTCTTCAGGGCACTAGTAAGTTTTCCCGCAGAGTCAAGTTCAAATCTTCCCTGGCAGACTCTCCCAGGCCTGGGAGACACACTTCCCTGTGAAGACCTCCCATTTATGTCTTTCACCTCTCCTGCCTCCTAGAATGCTTAGTCCTTGGATGGGTGCCTTTGTACAGGTGATGAGGTCAGGAATGGTCATGAACTCTTAGGATTTGTATTCATTACAGCCTCTGGCGCCCATTTGCAGACAAAGTCTCCCCAAATAATAGGAAAATCCTGTCCAGGTTTAAATACCTGGTGGGTGCTCTGTTTAAATATAACTGTTAGCTTATCTCTGACTTTGACTAGAAATGAGCCGGCAGGTATCAGCACCTGCTCCAGGTTAGAGGCACTGTGAGAGCTTTCTGTGCTGCTTCCCTGTCTCACCACAGCCCCAGGGCAGGCTCTCCCTGCAGACGTGGAAAGGCTCAGGCAGAGTTCTGGTGGCTCGCCACCAGACACCTGGAGCTGTGGCGCCAGGGTCAAATGCCAATCTGTCTGACCACAAAGGTTTACCCTCTCTTATAGGGGAGCTGTGAAGATCCAGAAAGAAGAGCTCATTTTGACCTCGGGCATTTGTGGGTTCTCTGGGCTCAGCTCTCAAGTACTTTGTACTCTGCAGGTCTCTCTCCAAGCTGTTGAAGGTTCTTGTTGGAGTTGGATGGTAGAATTTAGGGTGGTCCCTCTGGCTCTTGGAAGAAAAAGCACATGTTCCTTAAATGGGCATGTCATCAGCACCCAAGCAAACGTCAAGGTCCCTGAGGGAAAAGGCAGCACCTGCAGTCCCTTCACACTGCCTCTCCATGTCTCAGACCTGGGAACTTAGCAAACATTTCCCAATGACGAAGGGTTCAGGCTCAATTCTTGCTTGCTGTCTGACTCCACTCCTCTGAGGGAGCGCTGCCTGGACCCCAGAGCTCCTTGGGCTTCCCAAGACCGTGTTTCCTTGTTCCTCCGCACAAGCCACTGTACAGCCACATCCCTGGTTTATTCTTCTAATCCCA